AAGATTCCCTGATGAAGCCACCCAACTGAGACACAAAATGTCGATGAATGAACTTCCAGGCTCGGTCATAGGGAACTGAGTTATAGCGCATTATCTCGGAGAGCGGCAACAACTCGACACAGTGTTACGTGGGAGTTACAGAGCAATTGCGCCAAAAGTGATCTATATGGGCAGCGTTTCGAGTGGCGGCCAGGTCCATGAGATGGGGAGAAACTGGCTGTTTTTGGGCGAGCCGAGTTCGGGAGTTCGGGAGCGAAAAAAGCCGCCATAAATCCAAGACACACACACGCATTTTGCGCCCCCCTAACAAGGGCTGGGAATTTACGAGGTTGCTCCCCTTTCATCGCAAATCAGTCAAAGGAAAACGCGTCTTTTTCGGCTCGCACTGCGCCGCGTAAATAACGCAGCGTCAGCGCCTTCGTTCTAATTAAATTCCTGCATTTGCCCGCCAGACAGACCGGATTTGGGCCTGGGGGATGTTTTAGTTCCCCGGGTTTTTCGCCCCGGAACGGGGGAGGGGGCGAAGCTGATCCATCGCGCCTCCAACTCGACTTATCTGGCCTTTCCAGGCGGATGCTTCCGAAAATTAAAATAGTAATAAAAGTTAGTTGGTGATAGGAGAATGGAGGGAGGTTCGCCCCCTGCGGGGCCCTGGCGGGCGGCAGCGGAAAAGAGCGGCGTTTTATCAACGTGACGGTTTTACGGGTCGTTGGGCTGCTTCAAAACGCCAGAATGACCTGCAAGGTCCAGGATGTCGCCCTCCCAAAGGGTCCCTTAGGGCGGAATCGTCTTCGACCAGCTGCCGCTGTAGGCAAATGCGCTTTTAATGCGCGCCGGATTCGGGGCAATTAGGCGAGAAATCTCGGCGCGCCGAAGACTTCCCGATCGAAATTCGAAAATATTAATTGGGCGCCCATATGGCCGCTTAATTAGCGAAATCGAGCCGGAAATCAATTAAAGGCGCTCGCGCGCCAATTTGCCTAATGGCTTCGCCAAGTCGATGTTTTCACTAAAAATCGCCCGTTCTTTTTGTTGCAGATTGACCCCAAAGTGGCGTTCCCGAGGCGAGCACACCCCAAGGTAAGTCCGCCCCCCCCAAGTTCCCCCGTGGCATGCAGTGGCGCACCTTTGCGCCCCCCTTAAACTGCGTTCTTAGCGCTAAACCTTGAGATGGAACAACTAAGTCCGCCACGTTGGCGAGGCGAAGCTTTTGAGTGCTCGGGCGGACAGCCCTAAGCTGACTTAAACGCCTACAGGCGAACTATGCAAAAAGTGGGCGCAGTTTTGCCTCCCAGCAGGGAGGTTTGGTTTGGGCGCGGAAAACACTGTGAACCTGCTGCAGCAGACACACTGAGCGGACTGATTTTGATGCGAAAACTGTTGCTGATGCCAAAATGCGCCAACCTCAGGCACCCCCAGGGCCGGTTTCGAGCCTATTCGCTCTCATCCAGCTGGGTTCAGCCTGAAATTAGCGATTCACATCGGTTGCGCAACCTCACTTCAGCAGTTGAGCGGCTTTTTCATCCTCTTTCTTTAGTCGGATGTCAATAAAACGTTTGAAGAGTCGAAAATGGAGTTCGATTATGATTTTCCAGAAGTTTCAACTCGGAAAGTTCCTCGGATTGGAAGTTGTGAATTTTCAAAGTCCGATGAAGTAAATTGCTTATTTGCCACTGCGAGGTTCAACACGCTTTTCCGAACTGTTTTAGTTGAAGAATGAGATTCAAACTTTGCGCAAGTTTAACAGTGGAGTTCAGTCGACAAATTGACGAAATTTCAAGTGCTGAACTGCGTTTAGTTTGGAGTTGCAAATTTTTAAAATCGACCCGCTCACTTTCGCGATTGTCCACTTCAGGAGTTGAGCGGCTTTTTCATCCTCTTTCTTTAGCCGGATGTCAATGAAACGTTTGAAGAGTCAAAAATGAAGTTCGATTATGATTTTCCAGAAGTTTCAACTCGGAAAGTTCCTCGGCTTGGCAGTTGTGAACTTTCAAAGTCCGATGAAGTAAATTGCTTATTTGCCACTGCGAGGTTCAACACGCTTTTCCGAACTGTTGTAGTTGAAGAATGAGATTCAAACTTTGCGGGAGTTGAAGAATGGAGTTCAGTCGACAAATTGACGAAATTTCAAGTGCTGAACTGCGTTTAGTTTAGAGTTGCGAATTTTTAAAATCGACCCGCTCACTTTCGCGTTTGTCCACTTTAGGAGTTGAGCGGCTTTTTCATACTCTTTCTTTAGCCGGATGTCAACGAAAGGTTTGAAGAGTCAAAAATGGAGTACGATTATGATTTTCCAGAAGTTTAAACTGTGAATGTTCCTAAGATTGGAAGTTGTGAACTTTCAAATTTCGATGAAGTAAATTGCTCATTTGCCACTGCAAGGTTGAACACGCTTTTCCGAACTGTTTTAGTTGAAGAATGAGATTCATCCTTTTCGGTAGTTTGATAGTGGAGTTCAGTCGACAAATCGACGAAGTTTCAAGTGCTCAACTGCGTTTGGTTTGGAGTTGCAAATTTTTAAACTCGACCCGCTCAATTTCGCGTTTTTCCACTTCAGGAGTTGAGCGGCTTTTTCATCCTCTTTCTTTAGCCGGATGTCAATGAAACGTTTTAAGAGTCAAAAATGAAGTTCGATTATGATTTTCCAGAAGTTTCAACTCGGAAAGTTCCTCGGATTGGAAGTTGTAAACTTTCAAAGTCCGATGGAGTATATTGCTCATTTGCCACTGCGAGGTTCAACACGCTTTTCCGAACTGTTTTAGTTGAAGAATGAGATTAAAACTTTTCGGGAGTTTAAGAGTGGAGTTCAGTCGACAAATTGACGAAATTTCAAGTGCTGAGCTGAGTTTGATTTGGAGTTGAAAATTTTAAAAATCGACCGCCTCAATTTCACGGTTGTCCACTTCAGGAGTTGAGCGGCTTTTTCATCCTCTTTCTTTAGCTGGATGTCAATGAATCGTTTGAAGAGTCAAAAATGGAGTTCGATTATGATTTTCCAGAAGTTTCAACTCGGAAAGTTCCTCGGATTGGAAGTTGTGAATTTTCAAATTTCGACGAAGTAAATTGCTCATTTGCCACTGCGACGTTCAACACGCATTTCCGAACTGTTTTAGTTGAAGAATGAGATTCAAGCTTTTCGGGAGGTTAACAGTGGAGTTCAGTCGACAAATGGACGAAATTTCAAGTGCTCAACTGCGTTTGGTTTGGAGTTGCGAATTTTTAAAATCGACCCGCTCAATTTCGCGTTTGTCCACTTCAGGAGTTGAGTGGCTTTTTCATTCTCTTCCTCTAGCCGGATGTCAATGAAACGTCTGAAGAGTCAAAAATGGAGTTCGATCATGATTTTCCAGAAGGTTCAACTCGGAAAGTTCCTCGGATTGGAAGTTGTGAACTTTCAAATTCCGATGAAGTAAATTGCTCATTTGCCACTGCGACGGTCAACACGCTTTCCGAACTGTTTTAGTTGAAGAATGAGATTCAAACTTTGCGGGAGTTGAAGAGTGCAGTTCAGTCGAGAAATTGACAAAATTTCAAATGCTCAACTGCGTTTGATTTAGAGTTGCGAATTTTTCAAATCGACCCGCTCACTTTTGCGTTTGTCTACTTCAGGAGTTGAGCGGCTTTTTCATCCTCTTTCTTTAGCTGGATGTCAATGAATCGTTTGAAGAGTCAAAAATGGAGTTCGATTATGATTTTCCAGAAGTTTCAACTCGGAAAGTTCCTCGGATTGGAACTTGTGAACTTTCAAAGTCCGATGAAGTAAATTGCTCATTTGCCACTGCGAGGTTCAACACGCTTTTCCGAACTGTTTTAGTTGAAGAATGAGATTCAAACTTTGCGGGAGTTTAACAGTGGAATTTAGTCGACAAATCGACGAAGTTTCAAGTGCTCAACTGCGTTTGGTTTGAAATTGCAAATTTTTAAAATCGATAGACTCGAAACCGGGCCTGGGGGTGCCTGAGGTTGGCGCATGTCGGCCTCAGCAGCTCCGTGATGAGCTTTCTAAATGGGCAAGTGCTGATGCCGAAATGCGCCAACCTCAGGCACCTCCGAGACCGGTTTCGAGCCTATTCGCTCTCATCAGCTGGGTTCAAAAAATCAAAAATGCCAGTGAAAACGCAGTGAATCGTGCCCTGGGCGCATGCCGGCGCCCAACTCGCCCCGGCCTAAGCGTTTATGGTCGTTATGGTTGGCACCTTCCGGCAAAAATACCTGACAAAGTTTCGAACGCCGGCCCCCATCAATCACATCGGCGTATTTTTACCTTATTAATGACCTGGGCGCCGTGGCGGGCGAAAGATTGATTAAGGGCGGATGGAAAGTGAAAGTGGGTGCAACCGAGAGCCAAAGCCGGTTTCATGCTGATTCATTCTTCATTCTTATTCATTGCGCGGCTCCTCGGGTCTATAAATAGTGCAGTGGGGCAACGTGGCCGCCGCCTCAGGATCCCCTAAGGAAGTCCACTTTTTTGCGCCCTCCTCGCCCAGGGGGGGCGCGGATTAATATTAATTCGAATTTACTATGATCACTGTTTAAGCGCGCGCTAATTCCGATCCCCCGCAGGATTGGGGCCAACAATCGATTCCTGCGAAGGGTCGCTTAATGAAATTTGATGATCATCCGGGCGCGCGATTGTGGCGGATTTTCCCCCATTAGAAATGCATAAGCAATTCCGATTATCCTGGATTGGGCCTTATTGGGCTGCGCCCACTCTGATGATGGACTTGGCGGATAATCGAAACGCCACACGGCCAGCGGCCCGGGGGGGAACGCCCCCCACCCCATAAAGAAGTTTATTTATTCGCGCCCTAGCAACAGTGTTGTCTGTCAATTCAACCCCACACCAGTCGGGCGTGAGCTGGTGACTGTCACTTCTGTCTAAAGCATTGACAACGCTCTGACGGGCGCCATTCAAAATTCCGCCGAAGAAACGTGGTAGAAGCAGCCGGGCTGAACGATGACGAAGGCGCCCAGAACCGTGGGCGCAGCCAAAGCGCGCCCAGGCGACGCCGTGCCCCGGGCGCAGTCGATGAGCGCTGGGCGCGTGACGCGCAACCCGTTCCTGAACTTTCTGCGCGACATGCGCAGGAACACGCAAGGTATGTCGCCGATCGAGGTGACACAGCGCGGCGCCGAGATCTGGCGCAACATGACCCGCGCCCAGAAGGAGCCCTACTGCCAGATGGCGCGGCAGGCGGAGCGCCGGCCCAGGCGCAACCGTCGGCGGCGCAAACACAGACAGCGCAAGCGCCGCCGTCACTGATCAAAGTTTGTGATTGATTAAACGTTTCGTATCGTCTCTGCTTTTGATTTCGTGTTGGGGGGGTGACACTGGGTTGAGTTGCGCTCGCCGAGTTAATGAGTTGTTACTCATCGGCTGATGAGTCGTGACACTTGGGCTGCGCCAACTCACTGAGTTGCTTTGTCTGTAGAACCGATTACTAAAAAACCGGAAATTTTGCGGAAACTTGAGAGCGATGAGGGTGAGGAGTGTACCAAACACGTTGATTTATGCTTTTGCTTTCTCTGATCGTTTTCTGAGAAAACCTTTACGATTTCGGCGAAAAACGGGAGAAATTCGACGATGGAAAGGATTTCGAAAGTTTTTCGAAGCGACGAAGGAGGCGAGCGTTCAAGTAAAACTTCAGATCGTCAGTTTTAAGCGACACTTTAGAAACATGCGCATTTAGAAGAACGAGTAAAGGAACTTGTAAAAAAATATCATCAATCAATGGCCCTTTGAGTAAATCGGAAAACAACTGAAAAATGGGTTATTAACATTTTGCGCAACAGCAACGAAACTGAGTTGGTGCGTCGCGGCACTGCGCCAACCCCTTAAAATTCACTGAGTTACCCAGGCGTGCCGCACTGACTTCGAGACCAAAAACACGTTTTCTTCGTGCAGTTTTCCTCAAAAAGCCTCACAGTGTTGGCACTTGTTGTGTTGCTTCCTGGTTTGGAGGAAAAACTCTCTAAACCTACCGATTGATCAGGATTTGCAGAAAATCAACGCAATTGCCTTGGACGCACGCCACTGGCAAGCCATGCAAGCTGAGTTGCTGCGCCGCAACACCGCGCCA